GGACAAAAACGCTGGCTCTATGGCTTGGAAACGGGGATGAGCACCGCCCCCTAGAGTCGAACACAACTGGACGAAAATTGTCAAGGGGAACCTTTACCTTTACCTTTAGATGTGATTAGGGCCATCCTGCTACTTCCCCCATAATAACCTGTCCATATGTGTAGAGAGAAGGGTGAGGATTGTTACATGCACAGACGGCAGTGCTACAAATAGGAGCTGGTCTTGGTCTCTGCTTTAATCTTACCTATCCTTGATTTGCCCAAGCATCCCTCCTCATGAAGCTGTATTTGATGCAGGCATGGCTAGAACTGTGGCAATATAGAGACCACAGCTATTGGATCAAATAGTACAGAGGTGTGGGCAGTGAGGTGGATGGTGTGTTGGTAGGTTAACTTTTTCAGGGAGGTGTGGCATTTGACCTTGTTGCCCCTGTTTATTTGGCCCTCACAAAGGCTCATGCCCTTTACTAGCTGCCACCAGGTATTATCCTCCTAATACCGATTATGTATGTTATACATGTATGCTGCCAAAGCTAAGGTTCATTGACTTTAGGAATCAGAGGTTTAATTAACAAATATTCTTTTATTGTTAAGTAAATCACAAAGGTAAATCATGTAGGAACTGTATCAGGTATTAACAAGGATTTGATTATGTATTTGGTTACAAGTACTTTTATTTCGCACTACTATATACTTTCACTCAATATCTATCTTATAGTACTTTTAATTTCATTCCTGCTTGTTCAATATATTTTAACCTTCTCAAATCCCAACCCTAACTCTCTCAGTTCAGTTCCCTAACTCTCCTCTTCTCTCTCCTAAACCCTAACTGCCATTTCACATCTCCCAACTGTCCCCTAACTGTCTAGCTGTCTCTTCAACTTCCTCCTCTTCGTTCCATCCCTCCTGTCTTCTCATTGGCTCTTCCCCTTGAGCTTCCAATGATGGACAGGCGTAACGTGGGGGTTCTGCTACAGGAGGAAGCTTCCTTTTAAAATTTTATTTGTTTTTTAGTCTTTTGGAATTAATCTACAGATGGAACATCATGTACAGAAGAACTCCCAAAGCAGCTAATAAAATTCTGGCAAATTTTGTAGCAATGGTAAAATCTTTATCTCTATATTTAAACAACCAGGCTCAATAGCATCTTAAAGAAGTGCTTTGAATCAGTGTCTCTTCCTCTCTCCATATTAAAACTCTCATTATCTGGAGCTATTTAAACACACTTCTCCCCACCCCCTTTTTCTTTTAAGCATGTTGAAATTATGTCACTGCTAATTACAGTACTCCAGTTGCTGTTTTCCAACCTGACAAGTTAAAAAAAAACAAAACATTCAAACCCCAGTCTCTTGTGTGCTGTAGGCTGTTCAACAAGCCCTTACTGAAGAATATCCAAAATCTGACAAAGGAAGTATGCATGTTAGTGTATGATCTGTAGCTTGGCTGTAAACAAGTGGAAACCTGCCTGATAGTTTCACGGTACGTTTTTAGGGTTTATTTTCAAGATTTCAATAAAGATATATGCTATAGTGGAACCTCAAAATCTGGGTGAGAATGCTGCAGAGACAGATCTTGGAAACTATGATAAGCACCCAAATCTAGGTGTGACACCAAATTCTCTCTCTCTCCTTCCCTCCCTCCCTGTCAATGTGTGAGGGTGAAAATATGAAAGGAGATGTAGCTGATAGAAGAGACCATTTATATGTATGAAGTCCCCCCCTCACACACAGAGATACAGAAGCCACATTTCATTAATCTATATTGCATCATCAAGCCAAAAAGCCACACTCTTCCTTATTAGAGTCAGAGTCTCTGAGTGATAATCAGCTGGTGGTCCAATTGGATGCGCACCATCAGATCACTGCTGCAAGTCCAAGACAGCCTGTCCAGCTTCTTCACTAATCAACCAACCAACCCCTCTTCTAAGGTTGTCAAGCTCCCCCATGTTGTTTGTTTTTTCACAGCCTGGGAAAGTGAGGACCAGCCCCATAGTGTGAGATCTCCAAGACATTCCTTCTATCTCCAAGAGCTACCTACTTACCTCTCCCAGCATTAGGAAGTTCTTTTGCTGATGATTAAAGTAGAATACTATTCATGAAACGTGTCCATGGGTCCATGTGTGTGAAAGTGCAGTGGTGGCTCATGGAACATCAAACACATCCACACACCAATGGGAATAGCACAATAAATAAAAAATTCTAGTCACTTGGAGCCAATCTGCATTCTTTTGGTACCTTGAAATCACTTTTATATGTTCAACAAGGTCTGTGTATTTAGCACTGATTGCTCGGGTAGGAGCTATAGAAGATGTTCTGTGTTGTACATTTTTTAAAAAAGCTGTTCCAGGTATAGGTTAGAAGTTGTAGGTGCACTGTTTGAATTCCTGTTTTGAAATGATGATATGAGACAGGAGGCTGGCACTTCTAGTCATGTCTGCCCTTGCTAAACAGAGAGTGATTCTTTCAAACAACAGCTGTCTTCTTCTATTTTTAAAGAGGCTAACCACATTGTCATAGACACTTTCATTAGTAATAGTTTTTTAATATATCACCCCCTTCCTCTCAAGAGTGGTATAATAATAATTGTGTGCCGTGAGTTCAATTCCAACATGGTGACTCTTTCTAGAGTTTTCTAGGTAATGATTACTCAGAAGTGGTTTACCATTCCCTTCTTCTGGGGGTGTTCTGGGACTGTGCAGCTTGCCCAAGGCCACACAGGCTGGCTCTCCTCCCATAAGGCACAGTGGGGAATCAAAATCCTAAAATCTGGCCCTGCAGCCAGATACTTAAACTGAAGAGTGGTATATTGCCCCCCCCCGACCCCGGAGTAAAGACGCGAGACAGGTATTATGGATTAAAACATGAGCCACACTTTATTGATAATCATTCAGAGAATTTTTTGCCATTCAATTGGCAAAGGGGGGGGGCTGCTGTAGTGCGGAAACAGATAAATCCGAGTCCCCGGACCCAGGTTCTCGCGGTCTTAAGGACAGCAGGAACCCGACTGGCAGCTAATAAACACCCCCCCGACCTTGAGCCATCTTTACTTGATGACTGTTGGTCCGGAAGTGGCCCAGCGCATCTTTCTGGCCCAGGTGCTGAATCGCACAATTCGCAGCCCTGGGAAGTCCGATGCGCTGTTAGCTTACCTGATCTTAAAGTGGGACTCACCAAGAAATACCTGTTTTTTCCACACTATCCGCCAGTAGTGACCGGATTTCCACCATAAAATGCCAACAACCCTTACCAGTGCGGGATAGGCAAAAAACACCCCCATCCACGTGCCAATCAGGATGAAGGTCAAAATTCCTATCCGCCCCCTAAGAGGCAACCAGAAAAACTCACACTAGTATAGGGTGGGCAGGTGGGTGCCAAAAAAAGAGAAGAGGATGATTAGTGAGGAGAATGCCCCTTATATAGCCAGGGGCGTTCTCCCGCTCTCTGAACAAGTCTCATGAGACCCTGAAGGTCTTGCGCCTTCCATGGAGGTGTGGCAAAGCTTAGTCGCTCTGTCAAAGCATTGCCGGCTTGTCAGCTACTTCGTCAAAACATCATAAAATTGTGTTTTATTAATACATACTCAAAAGCATCAACCATAAAATGGAATGAAGAGCACCCACAATCTTAAAGAAGTGGAATGCCAAAAGTCCAGGTGATCAAATGTTTTTAAATTATTGTTTAAATCTCAACATCATTGGGGCCAACCATAATTTCCTGTTAAAGGAATGATGTGGCACCACCAAGTAGATTATAGCATGAATTGTCATAGGTTGTATCTCATGTCATCACATCCAGCTAGGATTAAAGCCCGTGTTGTATGGTAAAACACTTATTGAGGTCACTGAACTCATGTCATTAAGATTTTGTGTTCAAGCAATAACACTTTTACATGGGTAAGGTAGCTCACTGACAACCAGTGCAGTGTTTTGAGGACATATATACCAAATGCCTGCCACCTTATTGATCTGATACTCAAATTCTGTGCTAGCTACAGCTCCCAGAGCTATTTTCAATAACAATCCTAAATTGATTATGATGCAGTAATTATGAGAGTGTGGTGTGCTGACCCCAGCCTCTCCTGGTCCAGGAGTAGCCATAGCTCATGAACAAACCAGAGTTGGACATAAGCACCTCTCACTGCTGAGGCAATCTTTACCTCGAGTTAAGGACTGTCAGCCTATGCATCTGTTTCAATGCATATGTAAAAATTTCTTATCCAGAACAGGTGATCAGTGTCAAGATACCTGGAGATTGAGGGATCATGGACTCTGTTGCTTTTTTGTAAAAAAAAATCAGGATTTGTAGTCACTGCTTGGAATAAGCTGATGGAGAGAAGGAAAGTAATTCCCACCAGAAACTGGAAGGAAGTAACATCTGCAGCTTATCAGTATGAGAGCGGCCCTTAAAGCCAGGCTGGCTCATTCTTTGGTATTGAGCTAATTGAGAATTTTCAGCTGAGTGGGGGGAAGGGCATAAACTATTCTTCCTTTCTTGAACTTTTGTGGCAACTTGATGTCTGATTGTAAGATTCTCTTGGAGTCCAGAATCAGAACCTCAATGTATAAAAGCAGGACCAGTAGTTACTTTGATTGGCTTAGTTATCTGTTAGGAGATATTATGCTTATTTGCTGCAAGGAATGCACTTTGTGTTTGCTCTGAAACTGTGCTAGAATGTAAGTATTAGTATAGCTAGCTTTTATATTTCATTGTGTATTTTCTCTGTATTACTTCTGCCTTAAGCTTGTAATTGATCATTTGCTCCAAAATGTTTTTGACTTTCTTTGTAATGGTTAAAATTGTTTTGAAACCTTTTTGATTTTTTTACAATCTTTAATAAGATGTAACATTTATTCTTACAGTTGTTTACCTTTTTGAATTAAGGGGATCTATTGTACCTAAAACCAGGCCTCACCTTGGTAATCCACTGGAAGCTTGTATGTTTTGTGGATGATGTGACATTTCTACCTTGAAGGATTGGTTTAAGAATCAACGTGCTTAATCTTGTGGATTTTTGGGAACTCTCTAGAAACACTGCATCTGGTGTTTATGTAATGTAGCCTTGTGGTGCAGTGGATAAACTGCTGTACTGCAGCCAAAACTGTGCTCACGACTGGGGTTCAATCCCAGGTAGCGGCTCAAGGTTGACTCAGCCTTCTATCCTTCCGAGGTTGGTAAAATGAGTACCCAGCTTGCTGGGGGGGGGGGCAATGTGTAGCCTGCATAATTAATTTGTAAACCACCCAGAGAGTGCTTGAAGCACTATGGGGGGGTATATAAGCAGCACGCTTTGCTTTGCTTTTAATGCATGCATAACTTGGGACGATTAATTGATGAGGTATTCAATCATGTCT